AAGTGTCGCCTGACTTTGGCCAGGCACTACCAGTTCCAGTCGGATCTACGTGTGCGATTAACCTTGGCAAGTTCTCCGTGCTTGTGTTAACCCCAGGTGGAGAACGTCCTAGCGAGGGGTGGCCTGCGCTACTCTTTCTTCATGGTGGAGGATGGGTGTTAGGGACAGCTGAGACGGGAATCGAGTTCTTCTCTAGAGCCTGCGCAGGTGTGTTCGTTTGTAGTGTTCCTAAAGTTGGGTCGATTGATTTTGGGGCAGGAGCTAGATGTGTGGTCGTGTCAGTGGATTATAGACTCGCCCCCGAGGACATATTTCCGGCCGCAGTGGATGACTCATGGAACGCTTTACTTTGGCTTAGCGCAAATGGCAAAAGCGAACTTGGAGTGGATACGTCTCGCATCGCAATCATGGGCATTTCATCGTATGTCTTTTTCCTCTGTCGGGTCATACATATTAAACCTCTTATGTATAGCGGAGCCAATCTCGCAGCCGTAGTAGCCCAACGCGCTTCGCTTTCCTCCCCACGCATCTCGCTCATGCTCCAAATTCTTCTGATCCCAATCCTCAATCTCACCTATGACGCCTCGAACCGAGAGCTCTGGCCGCCTTCCATGAAAGACCATAATCCTATTTTTTTCTCTCCGAGCCGCGGACCTGTTCTGGTTTCGGGACTTGTACATCCCCGATACCGAGGCTAGGACGAGTGTGGATGCTTCGCCGCCGTTGCAAACAGACCAAGCGGCGTTTGATGGTATGGCTCCGACATGGGTGGGCGTAGCGGAGCTTAGTGCGGTGAGAAGCGATGGAGAGATATACGCGAAGAAGCTGGAGGAGTTTGGAGTTCCTGTAACTTTGAAGACATATAAAGGTGAGTCATTTTCAAGGGGTGAGTAATTTAATACTAGATTAACGGGTGACATGGCGGGAGTAGGTGCAACCCATATGTTAATTGCGGCGGACCGGGTAAGTCGTTGATATTCATGCATCAAAAGTTCGTTTACTCATTGTACCGTAGATCTGTGAACTGGCGCGCACAATCCGCAACGACCAGATTGAAGCGCTCAAAGCAGCGTTTGCTAAGTGATTAGTATCGTATATATCGATTTTTTTGTGGATCCATTCGCACAGCTGAAGGACATCTTAGGTTCAGAAACGATCAAGTTGTTTCCGGTATGATTTGCGGGGGATAGACGAGGGGATTGTAGTGCAACCGAACGGTTAGAGAAACTATTTGCATAGCGCTGCCGTTCGCACATGTCATCGGAAATTCTAACAATGTCGTCGTGGTATAAACTTAGATACGAGACAATTGGGTTTGAAAGGAGTCGTAACTAGATATTTATCGAGTGAGTTTCACTCAGAACCTGCTCCTCGTTGTATCAACAATTGAATAATACTTACCCAATAGATAAAACCATCGATTTTTAGCTCGTGTATGCGCACCTATTCGGCAATTGCAGATTGAAAATCCCGTCAGTATCAAGGCCATAAAGTGGCTAGATTCGTAGTCCGGATGTAATGACTTTGAACTGCGGTGAACCTACGCGACTTCCGTTAGGTTTGCTTTATTCGTACGTTGACAACATCGACGTTGGAGATACTGCAGTGCTTGGTTTCGATTGGCTTTTAAGTATTACTCCATGTCTATTCACGAGAAATTGCCGATGTTTACCCGGGTCTACTGCATTCGTAGGATCATCTGGATCGATGGATAGTCACTTAAAAGCCAATCGGGAACAACCCCGACCTCCTCAAGTACCCCGCCTCATTGCCGCTCCAAGTGCCAACACGAGTTTCGTTTCCTTTTGCACGTAGCGTACTCTCTTCGCTCGCATTTTTCGGTGTACCATGACTACACCTGCGCCTACAATAGAGGATCCTTCTACGTCAACTACTGTTCCCCAATCCATTCTCGACAAACTTGATCCCGAATACCGCGCATTCGTTCTCACTCGCCCTCCTCACTCTCGTTTACCGATACATAATCTCACTTGGAGCTCGGACTTCCGAGAGGTTGAGAAGAGCAATCCGCCCGAGTTGGGCGAAGAGCCTGGTGTACCTGTTGGATCGACAAAGACTGTTGAACTTGATGGTTTCACTGCTAAGATGTTGACCCCTGAGGGGGAACCACCCAAGTCAGGCTGGCCAGTCTTGATATGGATCCATGGAGGTGGATGGGTGTTTGGCTCGGCGGAGAGCGGGGTGTCGACGTACTCGCGGGCTTGTGTAGGTATGTGAATAGCCTCTATCTTTCTAATCACATATCTTGATCTAATAATTGTTTGTGGCGCACAGAAGCGCGATGTGTGGTGCTGTCAGTTGAGTATAGACGCGCACCAGAATATCCTTTTCCCTATCCCCTCGACGATTCATGGAGCACCTTACTTTGGGTCCGAGAAAAGGGAAAAGAGCAAGGTCTCGACGCCTCTCGAATTGCGGTTGGTGGTGCCTCGGCGTAAGCAACTGGTTCTCCCGATTATATTCATGCGATTCAACACTTATTTATTTACTAGTGGGGGAAACCTCGCGGCCGCCCTTGCCCAACGGGCTGCACTCGCTTCACCACCCATCAAGCTAGCTCTTCAAGTACTGGGGGTCCCAGTCACCAACTGCACGTTCAGTGCGGACGATCAGTCTGGCTGGACTCCATCGATGATCGAGTACGCCGACATATATTCGCTACGTGCGCTGGATATGCTCTGGTTGCGGGATCTTTATATTCCTGACAAGTCTCAGCGGTCACTCCCAGATGCTTCACCGTTGCTGCAAGAAAACCCCCAAGCGTTCAAGGAAATGGCACCGGCGTGGGTGGGAGTTGCTGAACTGGACGTTCTGAGGAGCGAGGGAGAAGCCTACGCTGAGAAGTTGAAGAATAATGGCGTACCGGTTACCTTCAAGATGTATAAAGGTAAGTTGCAGTGCCTCATACCAACATGATAGAACGCTAATCATTGAATTTCTTAGGCGCTACCCATCTCACCCCTGCTGCGGATAGGGTGAGTCCTGCGATTCTGACATGTACGAATAAATTGACAGCGATTGATGTTAGGTTTGTGCCTTGGCTCGTACAATTCGAGATGATCAAGTTGAGGCTATAAAATTGGCTTTCTCTTCATAAAGTGTGTATTCTGTCCACAGTGGGTCTCGTTCCATACAATGTATGCGCGACAAAGATGATATTTTGTGCGCTATGCAGCTAACTGGCGGGCCTCTGGCAATATTTGGCATGCATATATTAGCTGTGGATCACGGAAAACCTACCCCGAGTTTAATCCGGATGGGGTATTGAAGGCTGAGTAAGAAACCACTTAGATTAGGGTTCGAATATTGCCATTCGCTCACCTCATCGATATTCTGGAGTTTGCTGACTGAGGACCCAGCCTACATTTAAGAGCCGTGTCGCTGATTGAGGACTCGATACTCCCGCTGAGATGGCCAACACACAAGCCTCCCCCGACTCAAAGGATTTTACTACGATCCCACCCTCAATTCTCGAGCGTTTAGATCCTGAATATCGTGATTTCGTTCTTTCTCACCCTCCAGCATCTCGTACGCCACTTCACACCATCGGATGGAGCGAGGAACTTTGTGAAAAAATCAATTCGAGTACCGCCGGTAAAACTGATCCTGTTCCTGTTGGTTCGACGCACACCGTCGATCTCAATGGGTTTACTGCGGGCGTATTCACGCCAGACGGTTCTCCCCCTGATGGTGGCTGGCCAGCCTTTATATATGTGCACGGCGGCGGATTCCTGTTCGGAAATATTGGGACAGGGGCGCAATTTTATACGCGTCTGTGTGTCGGTGAGTTGCTTTCAACAATAATGATTCATCTCGATTGAAGCGTCGAATACAGAGGCAAGGTGCATTGTTGTGTCTGTGGGCTACCGACTCGCACCTAAACATACTTTCCCGGCTGCCTTGGACGACACTTGGTCTACCTTATTGTGGGTTTTTGGCGAGGGAGGGGTGAAGTTTGGCATCAACAAGGAGCGCGTAGCTATAGGTGGATACTCAGCGTAAGCAGCTCCCGACTCCCAACCAGGCAATCTCTTATTTTTAACTCCAGGGGAGCAAACCTGGCTGCAGCCATTGCTCAGCGCGCTGTACTCTCCCAGCTTCCGTACCGCCTTTTGAAGCAGGTACTGCTTGCACCTCCGCTCGATCTTACGCCCACTACAGATCCCGCTACCTGGTCGGCATCTATGCGTGAAAACGCTGACGTGGTTGGGCTTTACGCGCTGGACGTGCTCTGGTCCCGAGACATAAACACCCCTAATGTTGAGGACCGAACCAACCCGGAAGTATCCCCGCTGCTGCAGACGGACGAGCGAGCATTCAAAGGGCTCGCTCCAGCATGGATCGGGGTATCCGAGCTAGACGTTTTGAGAAGCGACGGGGAGAACTATGCAAGAAAGCTGCAGGACTATGGTGTTCCTGTGGAGCTGAAATTATACAAAGGTAAGATTGTATTGGAATGGTGAGAAATAAGCTGAATTTTTGGCAGGGGCAAACCACCTAACTGCCCAAGCGGACAAGGTAGGTGTTTCAGCAACGCGTGCTTGTGGATATACTGACAGGTTTGCAGGTTTGCGAGCTAGCTCGTACAATACAAAACGACCGGATACGGGCGATTGTAGCTGCATTCGATTCTTCACGTTTATGACTGTAAGATAAGATCTGTTGGTAGGCTTGTGGAGCAAACAATAAAGTAGTATGACATGCGAGCTGGGGCATTTGTTTCCAAGGATAAACCTGTGACCAATTCTTGCAACAACCCGAGATGAAAATGGCCGGAAACCCGTGAGTCGATCCCGACCAGCTTTGAAGAGCCTCCAAGCAGGCTATCTGTATGTAACGAGTAGAACAATGTCCTGGAGGTGTTCTCTCATGATTGTTGGACATGCCAAAGTCTTTGTTCTATCATTCAACTTAGCAAAATGAAACATTTGGGGTTGAAATATGGTTTGCTGCGCTGTTAAAAAGACATAAAAAGGAAGCGAGCACGGCCGGGATCGAACCGACGAACTTTGGTTGAGGATTACGTAATCGTATCGAAGACCAACGTGGTAACCACTCCACTACGCGCCCTTATTGTATTAAGCACACGTGTTAATATATGGCACCAAGGCCTCATTTCACCGCAATACATGAGATACCCTCGTTTCCCTCCAATGCATGACTTTGCATTGGAGTTCGACTCATTTTACACTGCCCTTACTACATAGTCCTCAACCGAATTTACTCCTTGGGCAAAGGCAGGCACAATTTCGTTTGAAACAAGACCCATCCTCTCCTGGCTCGATCGGCCAGCAACACCCACACGAATCGATCGTATGCTCACCAGAATATAATTTCACAACACATAGATACATCGCATCCATGTGTGACATCCGAGAACTCATACCCAACAAATGAGGGTGACAAATCCCGACACAATAACTAGAGATAGGGCAAATGCTGCCGTATTAAAGTCCAAATCCAAGTCCGTCATGAAGCGAGAGGCACAACGGAGTCCGTGAGGAATAGAAACAAAAGACACCATCGTAATGTAGAAGAAGTACGTGGTAATATCGAGTAGAGAGATCGAGTGTCCGAAACAGTGAGATCGTGTCCAAGAAAACGTGAAGGTGAGAAGTGTGAGGCGCAGTCCAGAATTAATTTAGTGGGTTTCCAGTCTTTGCGAGCATGCTGGTGGAGCATATGAGCGTGAGGGTCCATACGTGTACTGGACGGACTTACTTGTCAATAGCACCTTGGTCGACAGGCGGGCTACTACCGTCTCCAACCATAACCTTCTGCGCAACAGACGGGACGCCGTTGACGACAATGAAGAGCCAAGCAGGACCAGGAGGGTAGACTGCAGGACGAGCGTAAGCAGTATTCATGTGGGTTGGGGTGTATAAGCATACCATTCGGGTTAGGAGGCCCAATGAAAGTCACTAGACGGCTTCCAATCACTACAGCGGGCAACGTAACCATCCGTTGGTCCACTGATTATAGGAGCGGTCAGCAGGGTAATAATTGATCCAACTGAACACACGCACTATGCACGCCATGCGTCGCGAATCCCAAATCCATGAGCACGACCTCGACCTTGTTGAACAGACCACGTTTGTGCTTTCCAAAGGGCGAGGTAATCCTCGCCTGGGAGCCTTTCGCGTACTTCAGAATCTTGTCAACAGAGATAATGCTGGGACGGGGCTTTGACATGTAATCCTATAACCTAGGTCAGTATCGTAATCGCCCAACACAAGAGTGGACAGCTCACGGGGAACAGCATCTCAGTACGGAACTCGGTTCCGAACGTCCTAGTCTGAACGTCCTCATTCGGGTTGGACCCAGCGATCATCACCGCTCCGCTCGGCAATAAAGTCCTACACGATTTATCAGCTCCAACTCCACGAACAAATTCGAACTACTCCTCTCCCTGACTCGACACGTGCAAGAACGGATGGTCACGAGCCTAGCAAACGGCTGGCTGTTCCCCGGTGCTCTGGGAGAAACCCCCAAACCCCCCTAGAGATGCCTCCAAGACACTGGCGAGTAATATGTATTTGGTGAAGGTTCCAGAACGAGACTTTTAGGGACTAAAACCAGAGGAGTGGGTGATTCCAACTTCGTATTTGTTATCTTTTGATCTGATTTCGCACGTCGACACCGCGTGCTAACTGCTTTACCACCGTTTTCTAAAGCTGGCGTCATCCATCCGCCGCCAATTAGGATTGACATTGCGCTTTTGCATGATGCTCAGACCGATTTTGATGGTAAATCCTCGATTTCTCGATATCCAAGCAGAGTTTCAGAAAACGAGCTACTCATTTTGTGCAAAGTGGAATCGAGAATGTGTACATGCAGTTAGATTATCGTGTTTACTCTTCGGGGGTCGATATCCTGAGAAGCTGTGAGTGATACGCGCTCAAGAGGTATACCTTTAGACAAAACAAAATATATTCAGCCAATGGGGACCCCAGAGTGTCCCACTAGGTGTGTCCTGATGTCTTGTATTAATTCGTTATCATAGGCGAGGCCTGCTTTCTCAAATTCTGCTTGGATGTCAAGAAATCAAGCATTTGCCATCAGAATCGGTCTAAGCGCCATGCAAAAGCACAACGCCAGCTTTAGGGCGCTTGGGCACGGCGCTCCTCAGTTTCTTATATCAAGCGCAAGCCATTTACCCTTGCCTCTCACCCATGTTCGATCGCATTCGCCGTACGCTCTTCACCGCTGCACCACTCGTAGGCGACTCCTCTCGTACACCTTACACATCCGCACCTGTGTCTATGGCGTCGTCTGATAAAGGTCAGTTGATTGTCTCATGATCAATTGTGCCGATAGTAACGTCTAGACGATGCAATGGTCAGTGGAAATTGCCACATTCGCCTCGGGCTGCTACTGGGGCACCGAGCACATTTTTGTCAAGCACTACGGGCAGAAAGGGATATTGAAGACCGCAGTTGGGTTCACAGGTGGAGACGTTGAAAACCCAAGTTATCGCCAGGTGTGTACAGGGGACACAGGCCACGCGGAGGCGCTGCGAATCGAGTTTGATCCGGAAAAGGTTGAATATGGCGAGCTCGTCGGTAAGTCGCAACTGAATAGTGAAATGGAGAGTAATATCTCACCGCGGTTGCGCTGGCTACTGCAGAGTTCTTCTATAGAACGCATAACCCAACAACAATGAACAGACAGGGGGATGATATTGGTGTGCGTGAGTCTTCGTTTCTCTTGTTCCTTTTGCGGCTTCTTCTGAACCAATGCTAACATTTCCATTCAGAATACCGTTCTGTCATTTTTACACACACACCCGAACAAGAACACATCGCAAGACGTGTCACCACAGACATCCAAGCTAAACATTTTGATCCCGTTGGAAAACGCATTGTCACCACGATTCTCCCTGCGGGCGAGTGGTATTCTGCGGAAGAGGACCATCAAATGTATTTATTCAAGAATCCGAACGGGTATCAGTGCGAGACACATCGGTTACATTGGTAGTTGTTGCCGGGTTGATGCACAATGAGAGTGTCGAAACCATTTAGTCCTTCGGGTTTGCTCAGACGTCCGGATGCAGGATAATGTATCCAATTGAACCTCATCAGGCCGCACTTGCACTGCATGGCGAAGAAAACGGAGTTAGAGTGGAGCATGAGCGCTAAAATGTCATGCTGTAGAACCAGAGGGGCGGCGGAAGAATGCTGCACGACCGAAACGGTCTCGATTGCGATAGGCGTTAAGCGCGCCGAAATTCGCCTCGTGTTCTCCGTGAGGTAGAACGTTCTCGCTCTTGTCTACCACCACCAGATCTCCGCAGCATCGTATCTAGTAGTTAGATTGTACAAAGAACTAAGTCTCATGAAGGTATGACGTTCCAGGACAATATCTGCGGTAGCTTACGTCTCGTGCATAGTTCAAGGAGATAAGTCTTAACTTCACTAACCCACGGCGTGGTTTCGGTACCAAGTCTAGTGAATCGGTGAGTGCGTTGAGATAAGGCGGGCGTAGTGTCTTCTGGTACGTGAAATTGACTTGTATCAGCAGGTTCACGACGCCTCGGTACCTCATGTCCCAGCGCAAACGGCATCTAAGCCACCGGACACCGAGACGAAGGATCCGGTGTCGGTTGATCCTCCAGGCGAAGAGCTGAACCCTGACGCGTCCGTATGGAGGTTATACATGCTTGAAGCCAAGGACTGCGACCAAGAGCTAGCCAAATGCCGAAATGCGAATCTCGACACCATGTTGATTTTCGTAAGTGCTTTGAGAAGAGTTCAAATGAGTATCGAGACACTGACAGGCTTACAGGCTGCGTTGTTTTCGGCCATCCTGACCGCTTTCCTCATCGAGTCCACTGGCTTATTACAGGAGGACCATGCTGCGACATCCGCCGCACTTCTTTTACTCATTGCGCAGTCTCAGCAGCGCACTGAAGTCGGATTACTACACGGTTCTAGTATTCCTGTAACGGCTAGGCCCTTTGTTGTTGCTGCTTCAGCTCGCTGGGTCAATGGTCTGTGGTTCGTTGCGTTGGCGCTCTCACTCTCAGCCGCCTTGCTTGCCATTACCGCCAAGGAGTGGATCAACGAATTTATCGGATCCTATGCCAAAGCACCGCATGACTTTGCACTCGAGCGCCAGGCGCGGTGGGACGCCTTGGAATCGTGGCGTGCTCTACACATCTTGGACTTTCTGCCAACCCTTTTGCACGTGTCTTTGGTGTGTTTTGCGCTCGGCTTGGTCATATACTTGTGGCTCCTGGATCAGGTTATTGCAGTCGTACTCGCATTGATTATCGGCGTCACAGCAGTGCTATACTTGGGTACTATATTCTGCGGTGCAGTCTTTGAGCTCTGTCCATTTGTGACCCGCATATCAGTATATCTCCGCATCGCAATTCGTGCATATACGGGTGCAAACGGAAAGTCTCACAAGCTGAGGATTCCGGCGGGAGAGGTGACAACGGCTCGGGATTTGCGCGCGCTGTGGTGGCTGATGGACAATGCTCGTGACCAAACACATCGCGACTGTGCCTCTCGTGCCCTTGTTGGGCTTCGCAGCCGTAGACTAGATGACATATCTCATCCGCTTGAGGGTCTTGAATCAGCGCAGGACATTGCCGTTAATCAGTCGATCCTTTCAAGCATCTTTATCCGGCTTTGCGGTCTTGTTGAACAGCAGTTGCCAACCTGCCCACACACTCTTGATGGGCCAAGTACAGCAGACGATGGCAGTCATGCGGCAGCCTTATCCGAGTTGGTTGCTGGCACATCCAGTCATTCGTTGGGTGAATTTCAGGTGGCGCTTGAGAGTATTGAACCAAGATGCAACGTCCTCCGTCATGTTCCTCAACCGGTAGGTACTTATGATTAGCTACGTCGATTGGTTTCACTGAAGTTGACTTCATTAGATACTTGCGCCAGTTGTTAATGCCTCTAAAGCATTGCTTGATTCTTTAGAGAACTGTATAGCTGGGGGAATTGCGTTTAGTGCGGACACGCATGCGAGTTTGGCCGCCGCCGAGCTTCGGTTGCATGCCGCAATATTGTCTACCACAGGAGCTGCAGCTCTCGATATCACTTCCTACGGGCAAT